AGGCGAATGAGTGTGGCGAAGGTTCGCCAGGCGAATATGCTAGCGAGTGCTAGCGAGTAATTCCAGAATAAATCCCAGTGGTCTTCGCTGGCAAGTTCGCCAGGCGAACGGGTAGCAAAGGTTCGTCAGGCGAAGGTTAGCGAACACAGCAACATGTTTTCTTTTCTTGTGCTTTCCATTCGTGGATTGATTGTGTGGTTTGGTTGCGAGCATTCCTTGTCTGAGATGACTAATTATATGATGTTATGTGTGTTGTGGGTAGCCGTATGGCGTGAATCCTAGATTATGAATTGATTGTGAATATGTGGCCTTTTGACAAATGTGACGCATTGTTTAAATTGATTGAAAATGCATGATGGATGTGATTGAGTTTATTGTCGTTTGGCACGATATTTGCAAGTGCATATTGCTCGTATGTGATGTATGATGATTGTAAATGTGAACCATGTTTAAATATTGTGAGTGCATAATGAATATATGCGATTAACATGATGAATGCATGAGTATGTTTGTAAACATGTGTGCATTTCAAGAGTGTCATGAGTCATGTTGCATGTGAAGCATCATGGTATGCATTCTTGTGTGTCTGATTCCTCGGAGAATTTGCAGAACCTCGTGTGCCCTTGTGGGGTGTGAGCGATGGTTATTTATTGATCCCTCAGAGGATTTGCAGAACCTCGTATGTTGCGATGGTTATATTGATTCCTCGGAGAATCTGCAGAACCTCGTGTGCCCTTGTGGGGTGTGAGCGATGGTTATTTATTGATCCCTCAGAGGATTTGCAGAACCTCGTATGTTGTGATGGTTATATTGATTCCTTGGAGAATCTGCAGAACCTCGTGTGCCCTTGTGGGGTGTGAGCGATGGTTATTTTTGGTTCTTCAAATTGAACCTGCTGAAATGAGTCGGTACCGCATTTGCATCTGCATAGAGTCGTGTGTCGGTCTCTATGAGTTGCATGTTGTCATCTTCATATGATGCATTGGTGAAATAAACATGAATGTAGATGTTTATGTGAATTAGCAATGGAATAAACATGTTGTAAATGTTTATGTGAAAATGATGTGAATTATAGAAGTATGATTGTATATGCTTATATGATTTGCGGTAAATGAAACATAATGTATATGTGATTGTTAGGAGAAGTGTGCATATGTGTGTGTGTGTGTGTATATATATATATATATATATATATATATATATATATATATATATATATATATATATATATATATATATATATATATATATATATATATATATATATATATATATATATATATATATATATATATATATATATATGTTGATGTGGGAGTGGTGAGTGTGTGAATTGATTGAGAAATGTGGCATATATGTATTTTATGGTTGTTTATATACATAATTATATGCATTGTTATTATGGTAATATTTCTCACCCTTCTGCTATTTTATGATGCTCTATGAGGCATTGCAGATTAGGATTGCTGGAGGTGTATTTTGGAGTATAGCTCCTTTTCTCTTGAGTCAGTCGCTCTGATATGTAACGTCGGGTAGCTAGGCTTGTAGAGTATCTTCGTGATACATTATATATATATATATATATATATATATATATATATATATATATATATATATATATATATATATATATATATATATATATATATGTATATATATATATATATGTATATATATATATATATATACACACATATATATATATATATATATATATATATATATATATATACACATATATATATATATATATATATATATATATATATATATATATATATGTATATATATATATATATATATATATATATATATATATATATATATATATATATATATATATATATATATATATATATATATATATATATATATATATATATATATATATATATATATATATATATATATATATATATATATATATATATATATATATATATATATATATATATATATATATATATATATATATATATATTGGTAAACTGTGATTGATGTTATGAACAACCTAATGACGTGTACTTGTATTTTATCATGTCTTAAGTAATTCAATGTTTTAGTCTTCCGCTTTAACAGAAAACATGAATATGCTTATTTTAAGAACCATGCGTTTATTCTTTTTAGTTGAGATTTACCCCTTTTGAACTATTTCTTTATAAACACTAATATTCATGTGGTCGTTTCGTGAGTAATGTGACGCACTTCTTTTATACCATGAAATAAATATACTCTGATGGAATTTTTAATTCGTGCCTAAATGATTTAATTGTGTTATTTGGGGGTATAGAAAGGGGGTGTTACACTTGGAACTTGGTTGTTCATCTGGTCCTGTATTTCTATTGCGTGAGGACCGCACATTCCGCCGTCAGCCATGAAGCATAATACCATCACCGACATTCAGAAAGTTGGTTGCTCTTGTTCTTAACTTGTTTGCCTCCGCTTTTCTTTGTCTGCAGATTTTGATTCTGTCTTATCATTAACTGTCGGTGCCGGAATATTGTTGGTCATTCGGAGAGAAAACAAGACATCACGTTTCTTCTAGGGCTTGGAGCAGTAAATCAAGGGCGTGTAGATGGTGTTACTACACCTTTTTATTTTGATGAAAACTAAAACTGGTCTTGGGGTGCTTGGAGTTTAATGTTATATTTTTATATCTCATGTGACCTTATCATGTGCACTTGAAATTGGCCTGGTGCCTTGTAAAGAACATGCGAATATTAAATCCTTAATTTTTATAATTGATTTGGCTTTGACATGTGAAGTCCTTGGAACGGAGTGCCATGAACTTATGAATCTTATTTGTGAACTTTGGATATTAAAACTTGGAAATGGCGTAGGAACCTTGGGCTTAATCACATCTTAAACTTGTGGCAGATCTTCGAATTTTTGGACTAAAACTAATAGTTCAATCTTGCATCACCTAATGTTGAATTTTGAATTTTCTGAATCTTAGGATTAAAATGTGATGCAAAAACTTCCTTGAATTTTCGAATGGTGAACTCGTATGAATTATTTCTTGCCAAAACACCATGGATATTGCGACTTATTTAGAACTTGCATCTCATTTTCCAAAATTTGAATGATGATTTAAAAGACTTGAATCCTATGATGACTTGAACTCAAACTTTGTAGAAAAATAGTGAATCAATTTGAATTTTTCTTTGAGAATTTCTCGTCCAAACTCGATTCAGGATTTCCATCCGAGCTTATCACTTCACGACGCATTGATCACAAAATATTACTGAGGCAATCTCAATTCCTTCTCTTATAGTCAAAAGAAACACACATGAGGATCCACTCCATAAATAAGAACAAAGTCCGTATTGACCTTTGTCACCACAGAACATTAACTAGCCCTCAAATGACCATGTTCAACACCCATGGAAGGAGAATCTTGATCCTCTTCAGGAGCATACACTGGAACTTCTAATAAATCTTAAAGAGAAAAACGTTGACCTTCGATAAGGAGATGCTCAAGCCCTAGTTCCAAAATTCATGAAAGAACCAGTTGAAATGGAACAGAAGATTCGAATCTGTGGAACCCTAGGAACTCTTTGAATCAGGCGCAGTTGGTCATTCCCTGAACTAATCGACTGCGAGAATGAACACTATCTCCTCTTGAAATTACTGCATCTGCACAAATTGGTTAGCCGTAATAAACACGCATACAAAAGTAAAAAGATATCGTGTAAGAAAAATGCAAAATGAAGTGGGATCTTAAAGTCAAAAATTAGGGTGCTACAGTAGCGTACGACGTTTATCGTTCTTTATTAAGTGTCTTGAAGAAATTTGAGATGAGAGAAGAGAGACGCACAAAAGGTCTAGGGGAAACTGGACCCTAACTATTATCATACAAAGTGGCCCTAAAATCAGGATTATGAGGGAAATCTACCTAATGTTGTCATGCTTGGATTGAAAGCCTAATGTCTCTTCTACCTCTAACTTAATCGGAAATTAAGTCGAGTTAGGAATCCTAAGGGATTAAGTGAAAACAGGGGTAATCAACAAGTAAGCACGAAACATCGCAATCACAAACAACACTAGATATTGAAACTCAAATTGATATCCAAGAGCAAGTATGTACAAGTATCATTAAATAAATATTTACAAACGTACTCGAGAATTAATCGAAAATAAAACCAAAATCAAGAAAAAGATGAGTAAAAGTTAAATTAGTTAAATTCTAAACTAATTAAATCCTAAGTGAATGAAAAAAAAAATTCTAATCTAACTTAAAAATAAAATTATAATCTAAATATAAAACTAATATTAATTAAAAATAAACTAAATAAAATTATAATCTAAATATAAAACTAATATTAATTAAAAATAAACTAAATAAAATCTAACTAAATCTTAATTAAATAAAAATTTAATTCCTAAACTAAATTACCTAAATTAAAACTAAACTAAATACTAAATTAATTACTAAATCTAATTAAAAGCTAATCCTATATTAATATTAACACTAAAGCCAATTAATTATATTCTAAACAAAATTAAATCTTAAATCAAGAATCCTAATTAAATCTAATCCAAAAAAAAACTAACAAATGAAGAACTAAAAAAAGAGGGGAGAAGCCTGAGTGTGAAGCAAAGGGGCCTAGAGGCTTCAAGATCTGGGCCCAATGATACCAAACCCTAGAAAACAAAAGCCTCTCCTCCAAACACTTAGTCGCGAGAAAAGAAAGAAACACAATCGCCCTTCACGCTTCAACCTATTTTGTCTCTTCTTCTCTGAGTTCTTCCATTGCTATCTCTAATCTCTTAACCGCATTCAAATGTCACCACAGAAAACAGGGTAACCCAACATTCAAAAGCTTGCACGTGAACTACTTAACAACACAAAACTGGACGTATGGACCTCCACCAAATGCTTTGCCACAAAAAACAACGGAGTTCGATCTCACCTCGCTCCTACTCCGATTCAAACTCTCGCGGATTTAAAATGAAAAACAAAACGAACAAGGGGATATCATGGCTTACCTAATGTAACAATGCTCGGCGCTTTTTTTATCACAAGTAGGTTACTGAGAGCCGGAAAATACTCCACGAGGTATGCATCTCTTTTCAACTAGTTGTGAGCTTTGTTCCTCGTTCTTCTCCTTCAATTTTCCTTTGATCTATGCTCGTGGTTACTGGTGTGTGGCGGCAAGTTTTGAGGGTTTAATGCAATCTCGTTGTTGTTTTTTCTTGAAGTGTGTTCGTGGTGATGTCGAAATCAAAAGAGATGTTGAGGTCTTATGTTGCCAAAGTTTTGTCTTGTTATGGTGGACAGGTTGTGTTGTGGCCTCTGCAGTGGTACGTTGTGTACGTTTTTCTGAGCAATATTGTTGGTTCTGATTTGCAGCAGGGTTTGTCTTTTTATGGACAGGAAAGAATTGAGGTGTGGAGTGGTGTTAGTGTACTCGTACGGTGCTGCAGGTTATCGATTTTGTTGTGATGGGCTGCAGCTCATGGTATACAGTTGTAACAACTTGGAAACTTGGTGATTCGAAGTGGTTTTGTTTTGTGGTGGCTTGATGGAAGTTTTTTGTTGGTTTTTTGAAGATAAGGGATAATGATGAAGAAGGTTCATGGTATTGTGTTTGGAAGTTTTACGGCGTAATGGTTATAGAGGTGAGTTTTTCCTCTGTTTTTTTTATTCATACCTTCCTCCTTCTATCTATTTCATTTCCTCTTTCTTCTGTTGCGTTGGTGTCGGTGAGATATATTGCTTTGTTTTCATATGCAGGTAGCACAAGTTTGTGGTTGCAATAGGCTTGTGTGCGAATGGAAGTTTTTGTCGTGGTTTGTGCGGATTGCAGCAGCTCGCATGGTATTGTGCACAGGTTTTTGGGTGGTCTGGCTTGAAGGTTTTGGCTTTTAGTAAAGATAAATCATGTGTTGTTGCTATGTGGAGTTGTGGTACGGTTTGTTGGGGCCTTTGGCATTATGTGCAATTGAGTAGTAGCTGCATACTCTGGTGCTAGAGCTGGACAGTGACTGCACCGCGGGGTCTGGAATTCAGCAAGCATGAATTTGTTGTTTTTTTAATTATTATTTAACTTGGAAAGGACAATTAGATATAATTTTGTCATGTAACTTTGGACTAATTTGGATGTTTGAATGAGAATATGGATAACAATATAATTGGAATGAATGTCAAGAAATAGATTTTGAGATTAATGGAAAAAGATTATGGATTAGACTAAACTTGAAAATTAAAATGGATAATTGGTTTCAAAATGGGGTAAATGGATTTTAAAATGGGTAAAAATGATTTATGGTTTGGAATGGAATTTGAATGAGATAGTTATGGGTCAACTTTGGACATGGATGTTGATTAATGGATTTGGAATATGGATTTTTAAATGGATATGAATATGGACAAAAATATGGATTGGATTCTAAATGGATTAAAATGGACATGAGTTTGAAATGTGGACTTTGGTTAGAGCAAAATGGATATGGTCACCAATTTGGATAGAGTTTTGAAAGGGTTTAACATGAATATAATGATTTATAATTAGATTTGACTTTAGGATCATGGCTTGGAAATGGATTATGATGAAAACTTGAATGAACACTTCCAAGAAAAGAACGAATCTGAATCAAATCTTCGATTCTCAATGAAACCAAATCAAACCTCCCTCCTTAAATTGATACCAGTTTGCACCAAAAGCAACAGACAATGAATAATTGGGAGGGCACTACTGCCTTATCCATACTCTGAGTCTCTAACTTGATCTCTTGCACCATGATATCATGCAAAAACATCCTTGACAGAAAAAACCTTAATCTTCAACTGAAAATAATAAAAAAATCCACGAACTCCACCGTGAGTAAAAATCCCTAATTCTCCCTGAGACACACCCTGAATGAGGAAATGCCTTGCACAACAACAAAACCTTGATACTTAATGATCTCTTGACAAGAAGATTATGATGAACAGAATTCAACCTCTTGCTTCCACTTGATTGAAATAGGAACCACCTGAATCACCTCTGAAAAGGGTAAACACCAATAAGGAGAAAACTCCCTTGATCCCATGTCTAAACGACCAATGACATGTATGATTATGAACTATGACCTAATGACGATGCAGAGCGTGAAGCAAAAGCCTGTTAAAGTTAGAAAAGGGTGGGGGAAATTTTGGGGTGCAACATCCATCTCGAGGGTTCTCTGATTTCCACTGGGATTACTGTCTCAGTTCTGTATGCTAATCGGGAGGAAGTTTCCTCGGTGGTAGATGTAGAGTTGTTCTGTACGCCTAGAGCATACTATGTAGCTCCTCGACCCACCTCTTTTTTGCCTCGCCTAACCTTCGTTTTAGTCCGTGGAGGATCACCATGTTCGCGACTTTTGCTTGCCCATTGGTCTAGGGGTGTTCGATGGACGTGAAGTGTTGTTTGGTGCCTAGTTTGGCAATAAAATCTTGAAATCTCATGTCTGTGAATTGTGTCCCGTTGTTGGTTACGAGAGCTTGGGGCACACTGAATCGCGCGAGGATGTTTCTTTTGTAAAAACAAAGTTTGTTAAATGTCGTGATTTTGGCGAGGTCTTTAAATTTCATTCCTTTTTGTGAAGTAGTGACGACCATAATCAGAAATTTGTTCTAATTGGATCCTACAGTGAAGAGGACGAGTATGTCTATTCCCCACCAGGCAAAAGGCCATGGGGAGGACATGGTCTTTATTTTGTTGGGGGTGATAGGTGCATGTCCCCGTGGCGTTAGCATTTGTCACACTTCTTGACATGCTTCTTCGCATCATATTGCATGGTTGGCCAATAATATCCTGCTCGAATGGCTTTTCGCGCCAAGGATCTTCCTCCTAAGTGTTGTGCGTTGATTTCATCATGAATTTCTTGGAGAATATCCATGACCTTGTCCTCCTTAACACATTTTAGGAGGAGAATGGAGAATCCTCGCCGGTAGTGTCGCGGTGAGAATTGGATATTAAATTATTGATTAACTTGAATCTTAATTCATTGTTCACCACCGGTCTTTAATTTGTCCAAAGGAAGGGAAAAAGATCGAATTACCCAGAAGATGCAATGCAAATGCAAAGCTAGAGAATCTAAGGTTCAGGGGTTGGTTAAACTTATGGAAGGTGCTAGCATCCTAAGCATCTGTAGTACTCTACATGAACCTCTTATTTTATTCTGTTATTGTTGTTTGCTAAGGGTGAGAGACATAGGGGTTTATTTCTAAGTATAGTCGCCAAGAAATCGCATCTTGTGCCTACGTATCCTGACAGGAATGGAATCAGAGTATTCGTAGTTCCTCTAAAAGGGATGAGGAACCATTAACTATTGGTCAAAGTTCCAAGAGGGAAAAGGTTTGTTGAATGATTCTAGGAGAAAAGACGAGTCGTCGTCTTAAGGGAGAACACTCGACTTAACCACCACAACTTGTAGGAGATGGTCTTTGTGTCACATTGAGAGAAGGGCTCAAAACTCGGATTTATCGACGAGTATGCCACATACCTCTCTCAAGCGGAAAAGATTCTACATCTCTCGATATTATTATGGGGCGGGAGAATTATATCTCGACTGTCTAGATGAATCACGTTTAATTTTCTTGTGGGGAGAATGGAGGTGATTGAATTGTATTAATAAGGTTTGTCTAAGTTAACGAGATACCAAGGAAGTCTCTCTTAGGTTAAGGTGTAATGGCTAACTCCTAAGCTGGTCGACTTGAGAAATCAAGGATCAAGCGGGGGAACATGATGTAAATGCTAATGCAATGTATACAACTTATGAAGTCATATACAGGTTCTTCCCTTGGACGTATGCATAATATCAAAGAAAAACGGAGCGAAGTCACATCGTGATTTGGTAGCGTAATTAACAATTAACAATTCGAGTTACGAATTAATCATGCTTGAAAATTAAGGCTCAGAGTTCCAGGAATCGTGATTCAAAAGGAATTACTGATCCAAGGCACCACGGTTAATTGAAACATCAGTGTCACAATGATTACAGTTGAATTCATATTAAATCTCTTTTTTTTTAAATCAAGATTAATAACAATAATAAACGGATCTCAAATCAGAATTTATATTTATTATAATTTGGATTAAGGTTAAAACACGACAATTAAATTTATTAGACAAAATCTAACAATTATAAATTTGTTTTCAAATCAAAGATACAACCAATATCATCGAGTTTTTAAGACAAAATTAACGATATAATTTGAAAAAAGTGGTTGATCTGAAATTTTAAGACAATAGTTACTAACAATTGATTTATTTCAAATTATAATCATAATTGAATTTAATTAAAAACAATTAAATTGATCTTTAAAACAAAATTAACGATTAATTTGATTTTTAAATAAAATTATCAATTAATTTGAATTAAAAAAACAAAATTAAAATAAATGATTTAACTTTTAAAACAAAATTCAAACAATTAAAAAAAGAAGAAAAGAGCATGGCAGCACGAAAGGGGGGATGTGCTTCAAATGAAATTCCACATGGACTCCAACTAGGCCCACTGTTCGTTCGGTCCAAACATGAGGGTTAGAAAACCTAGCCACTTCTCACTGTGACTCTATCCATCTCGTTGTTTCTCTTACGCTGTCGTACGTCCATCATCGTAAATCTTTTCCTTCTTGCGAGTCTCTTCTTTCCCTCTCCCTCGAACAACAACGAACATGATCCAAAAGAGGAATCAATCGTGACAGAACCAATGAAATCCCAAAACCAGAAACGAGAAACCCTGAATGAAGCGAACCGACCGCGAGATAAGTTTTCTCTTCCTCTTTTATGTTTCCCGTTGTTAAAATCCACGATCTATGGGTGATGTTTGTGTTACCATGAGTGTGGATTTGTGAGTTTCGTTGTGTTTTTTCTTTAAACTGAATCCCCCCTCCTCTGTCTCAGGTTTTAATTTAAATGGTTTCGTCAATTAATTCCGTCTAGGCGCAATAAATGCTCAAGTTTATTGTTAAGGATATGATCCTTGATTTAGTAGGACAAGGGAATCCTCCTTAGAATTTAGAGAGAGAAGAGATTTATAAATTTGTTCTGATCCTCATTCAAGGAAAGGAATACAATATATATAGCAAATAGAATCTAGTACAGCTAATAATAAAATTTAGTACAGCTAATGATTATATTTTTGCATAACAACTTTTAGAAGCTTCTTTATTCTTTGGCATCTTGTGTAGGTGGCAGTCTCATCTCTTTAGTCTTCAAATTTCTTGGGCCTTTTGATGGTTCTTTTGGGCCTGCTTGGCACTGGTTCTGGTTCTACAGTTGGGCTAACAACCTCTGGTTCTGCAGTTGTGCTAACAACCCCTGGTGCATGAAAAGACACCTTGTCCTCAAGGTGATAGTCAGAATAGAGAGTATTCCAAGATTCCCAACTAGTTTCTTCCGGTGGTAAACCTGACCACTGAACCAGTGCCATTTTTGTGGGGGGATTAATAGATGTATCAAGTTTGGTGTCAAGTATTGTCAAGGGTGTAATGGTAGGGTGGTGATTAATGGAAAATGGTGGAATAGTAGTGATTGAAGGAATGGGGCCGTGGTGTAATTTGAGGAGTGAATAGTGGAAAACAGGGTGAATTTTGGAATGGGCTGGTAGATCAAGTTTGTAAGCCACCTTTCCAATTTGTTGAAGTATCTTGAAGGGACCATAGAATCTGTTGGAGAGTTTGGAGTAAGATGCTGGAGTTGCAGTTTTCTGTCGATATGGACAAAGACGAACATAAACATATGAGCCTTCTTCGAATGTGATGTCTATGCGGTGTTTATCATCATTATGTTGCATGGCAGTTTGAGATTTGAGGATTTTTGCCTTTAATCTTTTGATAAGTTATTGGCGGCAACTTAGTAAGGAATCTATAGCTTCAAGTGAGGATTGGCCTTGTATGTA